CCCCTGGAAGGTTCCTGGTATTCATTTCTGTTAGAGGCTGAGTCGACCCCGGGCCCATAGTGCGGCTGGAAAGATTAGGCCAAATGAATAATCCAATGACCTCATTGAGAACCGAACCCGCGACCTTTCGGTGTCCTGCCATTACAGTAGACGACACAAAGTTCACGGATTTATGAATGTGTGGAACTGCGAAAGACCAGTGAGCGGTACGCTTTGTGCTCTGTGCGCTGTGCGCCTCGCCGTGAGGCAGCGTCCAGCTTCACCTCTGCAGCTGACTGCGCGTAATGCGGGCAGCATGAAACGTCCTCATTTTGTCAAGTGCGGTGAGCGCGGTGACGTCACTGCCTGCCGGCAACCGGACCGTAAATTCGGAGAATGGCTCAGAAATGCGATATTTTGCAGCACAGATCTGCACACAAATATTTACATGTATAATCAATAGCTTTTACCCTAAAACCATATCACATTTCATGCGTTTTGGCGCACAGCCTAATGATCGGGCGAGTGAATTTCGAAATCTAAAGGTGTGATAAGTTTAATTGGCTATTGCAGTCCCTAGAAATTAGAAACGCGCGTCAAAGTCGTCTGCTAATTGGGGCCGAGAGCAACGAATCAGAATTGCATTCATGATGACCTCATGAAGAGATTAAATCAAAACATTTTTCGAAATCACTCAAACTACGCGTCACTACTCAAATATTACGTCACCGCTCAACCTATACGTCGCCGGTCAATCTGTAAGTCACCGCTCAAGCTATATGTCACTGTTCAAGCTATACGTCACCGCTCAAGCTATAAGTTACCGATCGAACTATACGTCACCGATATAAGTATACGTCACCGCTCAAGCTATACGTGGAGGATAAATCTGTACGTCACCGATGTAAGTATACGTCACACATCAAGCTATACGACACCGTTCAAGCTATAGGTCACCGCTCAAGCTATAGGTCGCCGATCAATCTGTACGTCACCGCTCAAGCTACATGTCACTGTTCAAGCTATACGTCACCGCTCAAGCTATAAGTTACCGATCGAACTATACGTCACCGATATAAGTATACGTCACCGCTCAAGCTATACGTGGAGGATAAATCTGTACGTCACCGATGTAAGTATACGTCACACATCAAGCTATACGACACCGTTCAAGCTATAGGTCACCGCTCAAGCTATAGGTCGCCGATCAATCTGTACGTCACCGCTCAAGCTACATGTCACTGTTCAAGCTATACGTCACCGCTCAAGCTATAAGTTACCGATCGAACTATACGTCACCGATATAAGTATACGTCACCGCTCAAGCTATACGTGGAGGATAAATCTGTACGTCACCGATGTAAGTATACGTCACACATCAAGCTATACGACACCGTTCAAGCTATAGGTCACCGCTCAAGCTATAGGTCGCCGATCAATCTGTACGTCACCGCTCAAGCTACATGTCACTGTTCAAGCTATACGTCACCGCTCAAGCTATAAGTTACCGATCGAACTATACGTCACCGATATAAGTATACGTCACCGCTCAAGCTATACGTGGAGGATAAATCTGTACGTCACCGATGTAAGTATACGTCACACATCAAGCTATACGACACCGTTCAAGCTATAGGTCACCGCTCAAGCTATAGGTCGCCGATCAATCTGTACGTCACCGCTCAAGCTACATGTCACTGTTCAAGCTATACGTCACCGCTCAAGCTATAAGTTACCGATCGAACTATACGTCACCGATATAAGTATACGTCACCGCTCAAGCTATACGTGGAGGATAAATCTGTACGTCACCGATGTAAGTATACGTCACTCATCAAGCTATACGACACCGTTCAAGCTATAGGTCACCGCTCAAGCTATACGTCGCCGATCAATCTGTACGTCACCGCTCAAGCTATACGTCGCCGATCAATTTGTACGTCACCGCTCAAGCTATAAGTCACCGGTCAAACTATACGTCACCGCTCAAGCTATACGTCGCCGATCAATCTGTACGTCACCGCTCAAGCTATAAGTCGCCGATCAATCTGTACGTCACCGCTCAAGCTGTAAGTCGCCGATCAATTTGTACGTCACCGCTCAAGCTATACGTCGCCGATCAATTTGTACGTCACCGCTCAAGCTATAAGTCACCGCTCAAACTATACGACAGCGCTCAAGCTATACATCACCGCTTGAACCATTGGCGTAGGCCTCCATATTCCCACGTAAAGGTACACGCAACTCCAGTCCGAGGGAGCAACGCAGTGTGGCTGCTGTTGCCCAGATTGTATAGCGTCGAATTTACGGACGACAGTGAATTGCGAATTGTAATGCTCCAGCCTTACATTCCGGAGGTTATCGGTTCGAATATCAGCCCAGATACCGCATTTCCTTATTGAGGTCTTCGTGGTTTTTCTCAGTTCTTCCATGCAAACGCCGGAGTAATACATCGATAAGGCCACGCCATAGCTCAAGCGGTTAGTCGCTGGCTTCCCACCGCGGCGGCCCGTGTTCTATCCCGGGTCTGGTTAAATGGGATTTGTGGTGGACAAAGTGGCGCTGCGGTAGGTTTTCTCCGAGTACTTCGGTTTCCCCTGCCAATCTTCATTCCACCAATTGCTGCACAATCACCCTCACCTATCGTCTGGGGCTGGAACAATAGGCCAGAAGTGGCCGAAGTACAAGGGACTTAGTCCCATCCCACTAGCAATAGAAAAAATACATCGATAAGGCAGTTAGGGCCTCTTTCCCTTCCATTTCATGAATCATCAGTCATCCTACCATTCAAAACTACACGATCCAGCACTGGCAAGGAAACTGTAGTGGCTTGACGGACGGTATTGTCCCGGAATTTGTCTGGAGGGACTGAGGACAACCACTAAGAATCTCAGCAAGGAAAATCGGTGTTTCGGCTGGGATCCGAACCGTAAGCCTTCCGAACACAGTTCACAATCTTTAAAGTATGAACCAACTTGCACGGTAGAAGGTCTGAAAGGATGCAATAATGGCGAACACTGATCATAATTGTGATTAAGGGACGAGGCATGAAGCGGTCTGAGACACACGTTGCGCGCAGAACCGAGAAATGCGAACAGTATTACGGTTGGATAACTTAGGCGAGATATAAATGTGAGGATAATATTAAGAAGGATCTTACAGACTTTTCTTTTAAGCATATGAAGACAGTCATAACAATGGGTCACAAGACACTCCAGTGATAAAAGATGTGCGCATGTTTATAAGTGTTTTTGCCCTATGTGAGAGAGCAGCGGATATATCTGTATGAGAAATATTGGGCGTCAGTTCGACATACGGCCGCGTCTGCCCGAACTAGCGATCGGAGAATTACGTCTCAGAAATTTCAATTAATGTTACTTCAGCAACGTGTCCCACCTATTTTTTTTATTGCTAGTTGGGTGGGACTAAGTCCCCTGTACTGTGGCCACTTCTGGCCTACTGTACCAGCCCCAGATGATAGGTAAGGGTGATTGTGCAGCAATTCGTGGAATGAAGATTGGCTGGGGAAACCGAAGTACTCGGAGAAAACCTGCTCCAGCGCCACACTCTCCATCACAGATCCCACTTGACCAGACCCGGGATCGAACCCGGGCCGCCGCGGTGGGAAGCCAGTGACTAACCGCTTGAGCTATGGCGCGGCCCAATGTCCTACCTAAATATCACCGCATGTTTCGAACACACAAAAACCAGAAGAAGAGGAACAATTTGCAATTAACTGAAGTTGAACGAACCACAATCCACCCCACCCCCGGCGTCATCAAGTAATTCGTTGGATTTCACGCTCCTGCAGCGATGACTGACGTTTCGGAGGAGTATATCGCCTACATATTGATGGTTAAAAATGGAAACAAGGAAGAAATCAACTGGAAGTAGACAGCATTCTGAGCTTCCTTCGAAATACCTTTTGACCCTGAAGATGGAGGTGATATGTTCCGCCGAAACTTCGGATTTTCGTCGAACTGCACAATACTGCAACTCACAAGGACGTACTCTTCACGTTATTAATGAACACAGATATGTATGGGTCGATGAAAGGATTATTCTATGGAGAAAAAGACGTCCCTCCTAAACGTCGGTAAACTTTGACGAGATTACAGCCAAGAAAAAATACTCTTCGAGTCAAAATTTTTCCTATAGTAATTCCCATATGAGTAACTGAAAGAATAAAATTTAAATCATATTGTTATATAATAATCAAACAAATTAGGCACCCCACAAATTAAACTGTTTGTGAATCAAGCGTTGAAAGGGTAGACACATCATCGTCGCAAGGGACTCCCTGCAGCTCAACCGCACTGCAATTGGTTGATAAAGTAGGGTATGAAATGGGAGTGTTTCGTTTCTTGTGAAGCCTAGTATGATTTGGTGACAGAATGAACGTCGTTTAACAACACAGTCCGTGAATCTGTGCAATGGAGTGAGTTCCCTACAAAGCGAAAATTTAGGTAAGATTACAAAAATAATATTGCAAAAACTTCGTGCTGTTAATAGCAACTGAAGAGGCTAAAGATGGGAGAGATTCAACCCTAGAATCATTTTAACTGACCAATATTTACACATAACATTGCTAGAGTTGGAGCTTATTACGCACATGGACAAAATATATCAGCCACAACTTACCCTATGAACAAGGCATTTGGTTTTTTCAACCTAAAAATAATAACAATGAAAAAGTTAGTCGGTAGAGATAGAGTTGGTTACTCCAATTGACAAAATAAGTAAAAAAAACACGTGACACTACAAAGCTAGAATGTGTTACTTCAATCGCCAAAATAAGTAATAAAATCTGCCATTTAGTAGATACTGAATTAATTCAGCAGTCAAAATCATTCTGCCACACCTTGCTGTATAAACACATCATTTGATAGGGACTGGGTTGCTTCTTTCATCTTACAACGAAACCGAATTGAGCGCCATTTGACAGTCTGAATCAGTCGGTTGAACAGCCTGCAGTGACCTCAATAAAGACACCAAACATATGTCAACTGTTGCCTTCCTACCTTTGCAGTTGCCGTGGGGACGTAGAGGGGCGGATCCTTGTTGCCTCCTTCCTTGTCATCAGACAAGGTTTGACTCCCGACAATAGCGTCAGCAGGCTTCGCGATATATCCTGGGGGCTGACCAATTCGAAATCCTTTAGCTTTCACCCAGAACCGAAATTTTGAATTCTCCACCGAATTACTCTCCTCTCCTCTGAGCGTCCTGAGCACGCGCGCGTACTTTCGTAGCGAGATCGTCTTCGTCTTCGCGGAGTCTCCGTAAGTCTGTATCACCCACGGCTGATAATGCTCAAACATGTCCTCCTTCGTGCTACTGGTTGTTCCGTTGTTAATACTGATGTGGCTTTTGTTGCTATGGCGACGACGTTTGCTGTTCGGCTGTTGTCCATCTTCTTCGGTTTTTGTTTGAGACGTCGAGCGTCGTTTATGGCTCTGGGTCGGGGGTTTCATTGGCGATAACATCAAAACAGAAGATGATGATGATGGTAACTTTGTTGGTGTCAAGGCCGATTTTACAGTCGTCACTGCCAGTGATGACGTTGATGTAGCCGGTACTGTGGCTGTGGGTTCCACGGATGACGACCGGCGTCTCAGTTCCCTATCAAGAGGCACAGTAGACGCCATGGTGAGTTTGTTAGACGGATCAAAATGTTTAACACATCACTCACGCTCCAGTTTTTTCGTGAATGTCACACACTATGGAAAACATCCCTCGATCTAAACTAAACGTAAATGGAGACGAAACTTCTGTTAACAGCCTATAAGCCTGCCGTCACTTAACTCTCGGATTTTTAATCTTTCAAGTCACTGTGCTTTACGCCTCCCAAACTGCATACAAGGAACTTACGTGACACAGAGAACCCCCACCGACCCGCCCACCCACACACCAACTAAACCACTTGGACGTCACAGAAGATTTGCTGGAACGAAATGCGTCCTGTCTGTTACGGAGTGAAACAGATTTTGTGGGTTGGAACCGGACCGACAGCGCAAGGTGTCAAGGGCGAGGTGAACAAAAGCGTCGGCCGCGTACTCCACTGTCACTGTCACGGAAAGTGCAAACGTTGCCTACTAGAGGCACCGTCCAATATCCACTGAGCTCCCTCTTCCGTCACGGGACGTTGTGTGGGCCTCCGCCGTACATCTGCCGCTCTGACCCCCTTCCCCCTACTATGCCGCGCGACCAAAATCTCCCCTCCCCTGCTGTTGCCACTTGAAGCATGGAAACAAGCCCGTGTGTCCGTCTGTCTCACTGTTGCGCTTGCCCTCACCGCGCTCGCTTCGGTCGGGATAGTTCGGGCAGCCCCGCAACACCCCCCACCACCAGCCACCGTACCCATCCGCGTTTCTACTTGGGAGCATAGCTAGCGGGCCCATCCTGCTCGCTGTGTCGTAGTAAGCTCTACGTACGCCCTCCACTGACCGGGACTGCTGCATTCGACCGTCTAAATGCGTAAGCCTGTTGTCCTTCCCACGATAAAATTGCGTCCAAATTATGTCAGCGCAAAGAAAGTCTTACCAAAGCATTTTGTCTCCTTCTTCGGAATCTTTTAAGGAGCCCAAAGTTCGTATAACACCGATACTCGACCTGCTAAAGTGAACAGTTTAATGGGGAATGTTGTGGGTTGTTTAACGACAGTTTCAGCATCGAGATTAAAGAGTCGGATATTAGGATGACTGTTGAATGAAGTATTGAGAAGGATCTACAATGAAGCGGCCGAAGCCTGAATGAGGCACTACCACGCATTTTACTGGAGGGCCTGAGGAAATCCTGTCAGGATTTCCAGGAAAACAGCAGAGATTCGAACTGAGCACCTTCCGAATAAATATACAGAGCGCGACCGCTACATCAGCCTATTTGGCGGCTTCTTTAACCTTTTGAAGATTGAATTTGTTCTAAATAGTATATACAAATTCAGTTCGAACCTCACAGGAAACACTTGACGTCTCCATTACGGAGCCCAATCGGTTAATACTGTTAAGGGAAACAGACGCTCTTTATTGTGAGAATCATACGAAACACAGAGATGCACTCTGTAGGCAGAATGTAGGGTTTCAGGGGGCCCATACACGTACGAGTCTGGCTCGCGTGTCCGGCTAGGCGAGGAGCCGGGCTCGGATTAATTTCACCACACATGTATGAACGTGGCGACCCACACACGGACGAGTTTGGCTCATTGGAACCCAAGCAGAGTCGGACTCGCGAGCCAGACTCGTACGTGTGCGGGCTCCCTTAGTGTATTAAAACGGGGCTTTAGAAGGCTACAGAACTGATGAAAACGAACCGGTATTTAGTACACTAGCACCTAGTACTCGTAGTTCACATTCAATATGGACACTGAGGCTGTTATATTTGGAAGGTCTATAGTGTTAAGGTGACATATCTCCCCCCCAAAAAAACTGTCTGTTGTAGCATGAAAGAACCGAACTTTGTAGGCAGCAGAATCTATTTTTGAACATCTATGCTAAACTGCGGCCGGTCACGGTAACCGAGCGGTCTAAGGCGTGCACTGTCTTCGCTCGCTCGGAAGCCGGGATCGTGGGTTCGAATCCCACTCAGGGCATGGATGTTTGTGTGCGTTTTCTGTGTTTGTCTACAGGTAGAGGCCTTCCGACGAGCTGATCACTCGCCGAAAGAGTCCTACCGAATGTGTAAGATCTACTAAACCGAAGTGAAAAGGAGAAGTTCATGGAGGTAGGCCTAGGCCCAAATTTGGGCTGTAGCGACACAGAAAAAAAAATGCTAAACTGAACCTTCTGTTGATTGACTAATTAATTAATTGATTCCATGGTCTTCTTGGCAATGCTCTCAGTAACTCAGATTATATAGCACCCAGTTATAAACTTGTCCCTGTACTTAGACCATTAAGCACTATGCCATACAGGTGTATGGGGACGAGTGAATGTGTAAATCCACATTTTCTTTAGCTCGACACTAGCTGGGGGTGAGTGGTGGGTTTCACGCCCCGACCTTTTCACCACCGATGAAAGAGCCCCCGGTACCCATTGGATAGATCACTGGGTGGGCCCCAGACGAAGTCTGGACGACGTGGAGAAGAGAAAATTCTTGGCCTTAACGAGACTCGAACTCAGACCTCTCGGACTTCCAGCCACTAGCTAGACGCTTTACCGACAGAGCTATCCCTGCTCACAGAGTCCAGTGGTAGGTAGATTCATTGGAAAGGATTTGGAAGGAAGCGGTCGTGACCAGCTTCGCTTGGAGGGACTGAGGAAAACCACTAAAACCTCGTTCAGGATGGTCGGTTTCCTGAAAGAAATCAGAACAGACATCACTGAAACAAAAGCGAGTGACGCCGCTGTACGAGGTGACTGAGTTCTGTAAGAAGCGCTCTTAACTGTATGTTGCACTGAGTCCATGAACTCCATGCAGTCGAAAACAATCAGACGCGCAGGCAAGTATGGAACTAAGCAGACAGGGTTTCGGCACATGCGCAGTAATTCGGAAGTTTATGGAAATTTTTTGAAATCTTACGACAATAGTCTCGGTCTTTCAGAAGAAGCTGTAAATTCATACTTAATTTCCAGGTACACATCCTAATCACTTGCTCTATATAGACGCGATTTGGATAAACTTCTGTGATAGGCCAAACACAGCGGCACCCAGATAAATGTGCGAATATTTCGCAAACAGTACATCCTCTATGACAAAAAGGAAACAAGGTAGAAAGTAGATTCTAAAAGGTCTTGACAGTGGTGTATAACACACAGAATTATTGGGTTTTGGACTTTTTCCATGGTACAATATTCTAGAAGATAGAAAAAATGACGTTTCGGAAACTGGATCTGTTTCCTTCTTCAGGTTAGGTGGAAGGCACCTGCTCAGTTGGGCCCTCCCTTTTTTTCCTTGGCACTACAGCCCCAGTGGGCCTAGGCCTACGTCTACGAACTTCTCCGTTCACGTTGGGCCCCTTAGAAGGTGCTAATCTCAATCACTGGACTGGATTAACTCTTTCTAATTGGCCTAAATGAGTAGGTGCCTTCTCTCTCACTGGAAGACGGAAACAGGTGAAGTTTCCGAAACATCGTGTTTCCTGTTTCCTAGAATAATGAAAGATGGAATAAGTCCAAAAACGCAGTAATTGTGCAAGGTACAGAGTTCCTTCTCGTTCTGTTTCCGGACAGAGGGATTCACAGTGCGCGTTTCGAAATCTGTGTCCGGAGAGAGCGATTCACAGTGCGCATTTCGAAATCTGTGTCCGGACAGGGCGATTCACAGTGCGCGTTTCGAAATCTGTGTCCGGACAGAACGATTCACAGTGCGCGTTTCGAAATCTGTGTCCGGACAGAGCGATTCACAGTGCACGTTTCGAAATCTGTTTCCGGACAGAACTATTCACAGTGCGCGTTTCGAAATCTGTTTCCGGACAGAACGATTCACAGTGCGCGTTTCGAAATCTGTGTCCGGACAGAACGATTCACAGTGAGCGTTTCCCATTCCATTTCTTAACAGATTGGTTCATAGTTCCCCTTTCTCTTTACATTTCGAAACGCGACAATGTATTGTCTAAGCCCGTTTCATTTATACATAGGCGGTTCAGGGGCCCATTCTCTGTTTTGTTCTCGGACATAAACAAGAAGTTCGCAGAGAAATGAATTACCAGTGACTCGTTTACTTTTCGCTCCCCAGACACAACAATGCACAGCTGTATTCTCACGTTTTGCAAGAAACTCGCTTTTAAGCGACAAGAACATGAGAATTGTGCGATGCAGAACTTTTCTGATATGGTTTTAAACAGAAATCGTCAGATAAAAATGGCATAAAAGTGGGAAAAATAACTCGAATATTCCCTATAAAAATCGCTCCATATCGAAATCATCGAAATTTCCAATTTCCGAATTACTGCAATGTTACTATTAGAGCCATGCATATGCTGAAATATGAGAATGTCGGGATCCATATAGTGAGTTACTGAGCAACGTAATTATACCAGTTCACACTGACATATATTTCAATTACAACTAAATTGTAACTTGATGAAAACCACTTTGTGTTATCGCACAAAACAATAGCATTATTCCCCACAACTGCCAGCACATGCATAAGCAATGTTTCTTCGTAACAAAGAGTGTAGTGTGACACGCACATCATGGTGCAAACACATCGCAGGTAGCCCTCGACGTTTACGTACCACGGCTGCACACTTTTAAATGCAAAATATGAAGAAAAAAACGAGAACATTTTTAACGTCTTAAACACAAAGGCGAGATTTAGAGACAGTGCAAGTCCTTATATTATGGATCGCCTCTGTGGTCTAGTGGTCAGAGTTCCTAGCTACAGATTCAGAGGTCCGGGTTCGATTCCCGGCGCTACCAGATTTTCTGAGAAGTAGTGGGTCTGGAACGGGGTCCACTCAGCCTCATGAGGATAATTGAGGAGCTATTTCAAGGAAATGGCAGCTCCGCTCTAGAAAACCGAAATTAACATTCGTGGGGATTCGTTGCGCTGACCACGCGACACCTTCTATCCGCAAAAGTTGGCACTAACTTCGCCGACAAGTGGCCGTCGCTCGGTTGGTATAATTGGCTTGCGGACTACATGCCACGGAGTTTTTTTGGTTTGTTTGCAAGTCCTTATATTTGTATCATACGGGAACTGTTAAATAGATTTTTTTTTAAATATTCGTTTCAAAATTTTCAGGAAGATGATATTATATTGTTGAAACTGAAATTTTTCTTCTATAAGAGAACACCGAACAAGACAAGGATTCAGTGTTTATTAACCTTTGTCTGTGTTCCGCTTAACCTCTTTCACAGAATTCGCAGGGTGACCCTATGGCACTGTCCTGCTTTGACTACACGCATGTTATTAATTTACCACTATGTTAA